AGAATTGATCTTCTTTTGTAGGTCAATTACAAAGCCGAAGGAAGGCATTGGGTTCTTGATAGTGGGTGCACTCGACACATGACCGGTGATGCAAGAATGTTCAACTCAATCAAGACCAATGGCAATGATGGTTATGATAGTATCATATTTGGTGACAATGGCAAAGGCAAGGTCAAAGGGCTTGGTAAAATTGTAATATACAATCACATGAACATATCCAATGTGTTGCTAGTAGAGAGCTTGAACTTCAATTTACTATCCGTGGCTCAATTGTGTGATCTTGAATTTAAATGCATCTTTGGGATAGATGATGTAGAGATCATAAGTGTAGATGGCTCTAACTTGATCTTCAAAGGCTTTAGATATGAGAATCTATACTTGGTTGATTTCAATGCTAATGAAGCTCAATTATCTATATGTTTGTTTACTAAGTCTAGCATGGGTTGGTTATGGCATATAAGGCTTGGTCATGTTGGAATGAAACACTTGAATAGATTGGTTGAGCTTGACTTGGTGAGAGGCTTGAAAGATGTTGTGTTTGAGAAGGATAAGCTTTGTCGCTCATGTCAAGCTGGCAAACAAGTTGGAAACACCCATCCTAAGAAAAGCATGATGGGCACTAGTAAAACATTTGAGTTATTACACATGGATTTGTTTGGGCCAACACAATACGCTAGCATCGGTGGAAATAAATATGGCTTTGTGATAGTGGATGATTATATTAGATACACTTGGGTATTCTTTCAAGTGGATAAAAGTGATGTGTTTGCAATATTCAAATCATTTGTCAAGGGCATTCACAATGAGTTTGAAACAACCATCAAGAGAGTTAGAAATGACAATGGTAGTGAGTTCAAGTACACTAGAATTGATGAGTTGTGTGATGAATTTGGAATTAGACATCAATTCTCGACCAAGTACACTCTACAATCAGATGACATTGTTGAGAGGAAAAATAGAACACTCATTGATATGGCAAGGTCTATGCTTAGTGAGTACAATATGGGTAAATTTTTTTGGGCCGAAGCTATCAACACGGCTTGCTATTGTAGCAATCGCCTCTATTGTCACCCATTGAAAGATAAGACACCATATGAGCTCTTGAATGGTAGAAAGCCCAACATTGCATATTTTTGGGTCTTTGGTTGCAAATGCTATATCTTGAAGAAAGGCACTAGATTGGGCAAATTTAACAAGAAATGTGATGAAGGATTCCTACTTGGATACTCAACTACTAGCAAAGCATATAGAGTTTGGAATTTGGATAGTGGTACTCTTAAAGAAGTTCATGATGTCGAATTTGATTAAACCAAGGGTTCCCAAGATGAGAATGAGAACTTGGAAGATATTAGAGGCATTCAACTTTCAAATGCCATGAAGAACATGGATGTTGGTGAATTGACATTTAGCGGTATCCTACTAGCTTCTCCTCCCAAAGCTATAAGAGTGGTTGGAGGGTCCCCTACTCTTTAGAGGGTCTACTTCTTTGCATCTACTCTAGTAAGAGCTCTTAAATCAGAGTCTTCAAATCCATTCCAATAGACACTAGCATATGACACTCACTCGTTATTTGGCCATATCCACTGTAGTTCCAATCGACTGGAGCACTGGTCATAGGGAGACCAAGGAGCATGGGGGCACAGAGATGAGATCCATGGCAGGGTCGAGTTTCTTGCTAGGACAGACAGGACGAGTGCTAGGGAGGGGCACCGGCATAGATGGGATGGGCGTATGGGAGGGGAGCCACGTTCGACCGAGGCTTGAGGGCATTCACCGGGGGTGCCACGCCAGGAGGGGAATAGGGTGGACGCGTGTGGATGAAAAAAAAAGAAGTGTGGGAGTGAATTGATGCATGAAAAAAAAATTCTAGGAAGAAGTAGGGAGCTCTTTGCACACCCTTGAGAGATGGGGCTGAGGGAGAAGATTTGGGGCCTCCATAAGTAGGAACTTGAGTAGGGCCTTGTTGGATTAAGATGTTTTACTCTGGTAATAGAAAGTAGAATAAGGGCTCTGTTTGGGGTCCTTGTTGGAGATGCTCTCTAACAAACTATGGACAAATATAGTGCAAACTATTTCATTTAGCAGTCTTATAAAAAACTTAAAAATTCTTAAATTAATTATGATTGAAAACATGTGGAATCTTATAAGACCATAAATACTCGAATACATGTATACCCTAAGAAACATGTTTCTAGGACCATTACTTAACATTTATTAAAATAATCGACATATTCACCATGACAACCAACATTCATATTCTTTTAAACAGTTCAAAAATCACTCAATGGTTCTTTGTATATAGTTCTTTCTTATATATATACCCAATCATTTCGCAAAATAAAAAATATATACCTAGGATCATAGCAAAAGTTGTGTATCTAAAAAAAATCCATAACGATTTACAATTTGAAACGAAGATACTGGGAGAGTATTATTTATTACACATGATAAATATTAGTAATTTTTATATATTTTGTCAATCTTAATAAAAAATTGACTTCTTAAAACTGAGATGTGTAATCTTTTTTGGGACAGAGGGTACACTGGCCTTAAAGTAAAGTCAGATTCTCAGTTGGGAAAGATTGACACATTCGATTCCTCTAGAGCACATATCCACAATTATTGCACATCGATTCCTCACATAGCATATATGCATGCTGCTTTCCTTCGTCATCCCATCTGCGCCGCCCAGTTGGATAGACCCGTGTCCGCCGTGTGGCACCTCCCTTGGTCAGGTTCACGGATCAACCTCATGTCATGTGGAGTCCCTCACGGACGCTGCGCTCAAGCGTTTGCCTTGGGAAAAAGTCTATTTTTAGCCATCTAAACTTTCGTCCGAGTTTGGTTTTGTCATTAAACTAAAAAAATCAGGAATCTTTAACTATCCAACTATTGGTATCGTTCACATTTAACATTTCAAAATATTGACTTTCAAAATTTGTAAACCACCTCACCAAAAGCACCAATCAAAACAGCAGACGGGACGAATATAAACAGTATCAATAGCTACATGGTCAAAGATTCCGTAGTTTTCGAGTTTATTGGCCAAAACCAGACTCAACGTTAGTTGGATGGCCAAAAGTACGCTTCTCCCTTTGCGTTGCTACGCATTGCAACACGGCCGGGCTCGTCATTCGTCAAGCAAGTGGCCCCGAATCCCGATGCACGCACACACAAATTGCCAACCTTCAATTTCAACAACTTTTTGGAACAAAAAACATATATACTATCCTACATATGCTACACAACTTCCAGATGAAGGGAGTCAGAAACAAAGAAAACGTGAGATACTAGCATGCTACAAAATCGCTCTCTAGTTCAACCTGTAGTGTATAGCATTGGGTGCCTCTTCAAGCTCCTACAAACTAGGGGCATTCTGCCGAGTGTGCTTTCTCCATCTCCTCAACACATATATGAATGCAACCCCCAGCTCCTAACAGGTCATAGGACGCAAGGCTCAGGATGGTTGAATTTGCAATGCGTCGATGGTGGGCGCCCTGCAGACGAAAGAAATGATCTCAGCATTGTGTGAACATTTGAATTCGTTCACTCAAAAGAGGTTTTTAGGCCCTGTTTAGATCCCACCCAAAATCCAAAATTTTCCAAGATTCCCCGTCACATCGAATATTGCGGCACATGCATGGAGCATTAAATGTAGGTAAAAAGAATAACTAATTGCACAGTTTATCCGTAATTGGCGAGACGAATCTTTTAAGCCTAAATAGTCCATAATTGGATAATTTTTGCCAAATACAAACGAAAGTGCTACCGTGTCCATTTTCCAAACTAGAAGGGATCTAAGGCCTTGTTTAGTTCCTCTCAAAGTTCCAAGTTTTTTCACTCTCTCTCCATCACATCAATTTTTGGACGTTTACATGGAGCATTAAATGTAGGTAAAAAAAATAACTAATTACATAGTTTAGTTGGAAATCACGAGATGAATCTTTTGAGCCTAGTTGGTCCACGATTGAACAAAATTTACCAAATAAGACGAAAGTGATACTATTCATCGGTTTGAAATTTTTCTCAATCTAAACAAGGCCTAAACATGCCCTTACATGGATACCTGTAACAGGAATACGAAGATGGCAGCGTTTGCCAGTGACAGTGAAAAGCTCAAGGCCTCGTTTAGATGCTGAAAAAATTTCAACCTGATAAATAGTATCACTTTCGTCTTATTTGACAAATATTGTCCAATCGTGGACCAACTAGGCTCAAAAGATTCATCTCGTGATTTCCAACTAAACTGTGTAATTAGTTATTTTTTTTACCTACATTTAATACTCCATGCAAACGGCTAAAAATTAATAGGATAGAGAGAGAGTGAAAAAACTTGGAATTTTGGTGTCATCTAAACAAGGCACTCTTGTGGAATCCCTCTGGGCACTGCAGCGCTAGGGTCAAGTCAAGACGTCGCTGAACCTACAACCTTGAAGAGAGAATCAGGGGCAATGCTGGCCATTTAGTGCGCACCAAATAAAGCATCATTAGATAACGACTATTCCGTCCCTTTCAAATTATAATACATTTTGATTTTTTATCTATATTTTTTTCTCCATCACGCAAAGACTTACGTGTTTTTATATTAAGAGAATAGAAGTTTTAACGACTATTCTTTTTACTCGGAGAGAGTAATATCTGTTCATAGATTTATGACAAAAAAGTTTTTGACCTCTCAAAAAACAAGAATCACACTTTTTGGACGGAGGGAGTACATGTCGTGACAGGAGTGACAGCCTTCTGCCATGGTGGCCACCCATGCACCGTCGCGGATGCATCGGCGGAACCTTGCACTTATACGTCACCGGTCACTCAATACTTGTTGCGTCGCAACAGAATCTGCTACGTGGATGGATGCCTTGTTCATCAAATCAAATGAAAAAACGAGAGGAAGAAATTAATCTTTCAAGATTACAACCTAGCTCAATGGTACACGTGGCTCTCAGCACAGCCACAGGCCACAGCTACCAACGGCGCGGCGGAGTGCGTACACCTTTGGATCACGCCACGGCGGCGCTCACCGCCTCCATGAACTCCTCGTCGGCAACGAGCCTGGCGAGCGCCTTGGGCGCCAGACACACCTCCAGCGCCATGCTTCCCCCGCCGTCGCGCCCCTCGTACACGGTCACCTTCCCGTCCGTCTTGTTCCCTGCGCCGCTGCGGACGGCCACCGGCCGGCCCCAGCCGAAGTCGTTGCCGTAGACGTCGAACCGCGGCGAGCTCCCGGTGATGACCGTCGCGGGGTCCTCCTCCCTGGTAGGCTTCGCCACGTAGACGAACCTGGGATCCCGCGGCCACGACGCGAGGTCGTCCCTCACGCTCGCCTCGTCGAACGCCGCCACGGCGCGGTTCAGGAGCCACGCCGCCCACCCCAGCCCCTTGCTCACCACGTCGCCGGCCGTCGACCTGGCCATGGCGGCCGTCACGGCATTGCCCATGTACTCTTGTGGAATCCCCTTCACCCGTGCCCGGCACCCGACGAGGAGGATGTACGTGGTCTCCCGGTCCGGCGCGAGCTCCCGGGCCCGACACGACGCTCGCCACAGGTGCGCGAGCAGGGACTGCAGAGACGACACCGTGGCCGTCGCCGTCGCCGTCGCCGTGCCGGCCATCTCGGCGTTCGCTTTCTCCTTTAGCTTCTTCACACTCTCGGCTGAGAAGTCGAAGAAACACTCCCGCACCGGCAGGTACACGGGCCGCCGGACGATGTCCTCCAGCTTGCCGAAGGGCAGAGCGATGGGCACCGGGCTGGTCTCGAGGAACCACCTGTCCAGCACCGGCCGCGGCGTGGAAAGCTCACAGCCGTCCCTCGTCCGGCTGATCTCCGACCAGGTGTTGAACAGGTGCCAGAACGTGGTCCCGTCGGCGACGGCGTGGTTGAGCGACATGGCGACGAAGACGCCGTCAGCGAGCTCGGTGACCTGAGCTGCTAGCACGGCGAGGCGGGAGCCGTCGTCGTCGTCCAAGGCGGCGTCCGTGCCAAGCAGGCCGTTCAGCGGGAAGAACGACCACACCACCGAGCTTGGGATGTAATAGCCGGGGCCGGACGCGATAATGTCGCTGACGGTGACCCCCGGCGCCTCGGCGCGGACGAACTCGGCGCCTTCGCCGTTGCAGCGGAGCGAGACGACGATGCTCGGATCTCCAGTGGCATCATCCGTGGCGGTGACGGCGAGGCGGCCGGCCAGCGGGTAGAAGCGGGCCAGGGCGCGCGCCAAGGACGAAGCGAGGTTGTCCACGAGCTGTGCTCCTCCTCCTGCTGTCCGTGGCTTGGGCAGGAGCAGTCCCTTCTGGATGTAGTCCACCGTGATCATGCGGAGATCCCACGGTGTCAAGTGGATGGTCTCCGGCTCCGACGGCGCGCTGTCGTCCGGCGAGCCCGCGGCCTGCTCTGGCCGGACGAGACGCCTGGACACGATCCGAACCCCGCCGGTGGAGCCTTCCATTTCCTATCACCAACACTGCTCTTGCTCTTGCTCTTGCTTCTGCTTCCTAGGGGAAACACTGGACCATGTTTTGTAGGACAGTAGGAGTACTACAATAGTACAATGCAATGCTCTTGATCTATGAGAACGGTAGCACAATTTCAGCCTCACGTTTCTGAAATACTAATCATACAGAAGACCAGGCATAGCAGGTCTGCCACTTGTGATGGCCATGGGCTGCTGCGTCCATTTCTCCGTCGACACAGGCCACGTTTAGTTGGTCCCCAATTCGGCGCCGCCGTATTTCATGGAGCTACAGTAGCTACAGTAGCTTTCGTTTTTATTTGGTAATAAATGTCCAAACATTGACTAATTAGGCTCAAAACGTTCGTATTGTAAAGTACAACCAAACTGTGTAATTAGTTTTTGATTTCGTCAACATTTAGTACTCCATACATATACTACAAATTTGATATGATAGAGATTTTTTTTTTACATAGAGCCAAAGTTTAGATTTTAGATGGCCACATTCACAGAGGACAGGTGGCCCATGGCCGTTAGTGCGCACCCCGATGCCACTTTATTCAGTGTGCATAATAAATGGCGCTGTCTGCAGTGACGATTTTCTTTTCGATAAAAAAAATCATATCATATGATAGCTGGGTACATCTCCACTACGCTTAAGTCTGTCCTTTGCTGCGGGAACCTGAAAAGATGGCCATCCCAATGGCTCCCTCTGGGCACTGCAGCGCTAGGGTCAAGTCAAGACATCGCTGAACCTACAACCTTGCTGGCAGAGAGAGAATCAGGGGCAATGCTGGTCATTTAGTGCGCACCGAATAAAGCATCTTTAGATAACGACTATTCCGTCCCTTTCAAATTATAATACATTTTAAGTTTTTACCTATATTTTTTTTTCAATCACGCAAAGACTTACGTGTTTTTATATTAAGAGAATATAAGTTTTAATACAATAGGGTGGGCTCTTGTGATATCATTTAATCAATCTTTGTCCCTCCCTAGCTTTGCGTGCATTTTTTTATTATGCTCCATCTATCATGTAATACATTGCATTCTAGAAAATTTTGAGACAAATTAAAAAAGAACACAAAAGACACATGTACCTTTATCTTATTTCCTAATCAGACGCTATCATCAACATGATTAATGGTGATTGGTTGATAAATAAAAAGTATTTAATGCAAAACTGATTTTATCCTCTAGAATATATGATATTTGAGGACAAATTTTAAATGCCACAATGTACTATATTATAGGACGAAGAGAGTAATAAGTACATAGAAAAATGATATATCTATAAAACCAAAATGTCTTATAATTTAAAATAAAGAAAGTATATATTTATAGCCGTTTTTTGTCGTCTAATGAAATTATCAGCAAAAGATTTGTTGTCCTTTCTCATCAGATTTTTACTTATGACAACTACGGTTACTCTTGCCACACTTTTCTAGTAAGAAAATTCAAATGTGGGCACAAAAATTTGAGTTTATAACATGTGGGCCAAATGACTAAGTTAGGCCGCCTAAGCTGTGGCGGTAAAGAAACATTGGTTAAAGAAAACTATGGTTGCCTAAGCTTAGCTATGGTAATTTTAGGCTGCAATCCAAACATGTCTAGACTCTAGAGTAAATTAAGGGGGTGTTTGGTTCACCTAGCAGCTCCTAAATTTATTCTCATTTAGTCACTTTTTTGCCAAACACCTTGACTAAATGGGACTAAATGCCAATTAGCCAAATAGTCACCCAAAGCTTGCTAAAGGAGACTAAAAGCCTATCATGGATAGGGGGTACCCCTCATCATTGCCCTGTCCGAGCGTCGCTCAACCCTATCCCTTCACTCTCGCTCACTCTCAGCTTGCTCACTCTCTCCCTCTCGCGCGCTCTCTCTCCTCTGCTCTCCCCGCCGCCGCCACCACTGCGCTCCATGCCGTACCTGCTCATCCTAACGCCTCCGCCATCGGACCCGCTCCTCCACTCACCGCATCCGCCATGGATGGCCACGGGTCCGAGTATTCAGACTATTTCTCATAGTCTTCTTCTCCGGTGGATCCCATGGCCTTTGCTCCGTCCTTCCCCCCAACGTCGGTGACTTCAGCCTATTCTCCCAGGCGCCATCGAATGGAGCTGGCTCCTCAGCTCGGCGCGGCATGGAGGGGCTGGATCTGAACACCGACGCCGACGGCCACCCCTACATCGCCTCGTACCAGGGGCTCCTCCAAGGTGACGGCGTTCTCGGCGGATGAGGGCTTCCTCCTGTTCGCATTGGCGCTAGATCTGTTGGCGTCCTATTCGTTCCTCCTCGCCCGACCACAGGAGCAAGCGGATCTGGAAAATGCCCAGCGTCGCGCGGAGCTGTGCGCCGCACCAGGCCTGGATCCGGCGGTGCCCGTGCTGGATCGACCGTTAACCGTGCGCCATCAGCAAGGATGCGTGGATCAATGGCTTTCGGCAGCTATTATCCTCCAACAGATGCATTGGAGCAAGAAGATGACAACGATGTTCCGCCTGAGGTGAGGTTTTGCAGGTCTAATCTATTTTTTAAGTATGATTTGTTTTGCTCTGATTGTTAAGTATGTTTTGCTCTGACAAATTAGTTTGTATTTGTGTGATCTATAGACTTGCACTTGTGTGATCTATTAGGTTGTATTTATCTGATGTATTAGGTTCTGTTTGTTTGATCTACAATTGTATATTTGTCTGATCTGTTGAAATGTAAATGTTTGTAGTTGTTTGATCTACAAGTGTGTATTTGTTTGATCTACAAGTGTGTAGTTGTATGTAAATATTTCACTTTTTGTTTTTGGTCTCTGATCTGCTTCTCTACTAGTTTGACAAGGCAAATTGGTCAGATGCAAATACATTTGTATACTCTTGTCTTGTTGTTGATGAAATGAAAAAGGGCAACACAAGTAATGGGACAATGAGAAGGAGAGGTTATGATAATTTGCAAGAGTTCTATGAGCAACAAGCTGTCCTTAGACATGATCTGAAATGTCTGAAGAATAGATATAATCAGTTGAAGACCATGTAAGTGGACACTAAACCAAACAGGGGTTGGCCGCCAAGCAAACTGTCGCGGGTTCAAAACCACGGCAAGCATGTTGTTCAAGTCAGTGTCAGAATACGGGTCTCCGGTGGCTCGGGTGGACTCAGGAACACAAGAATCACGCAGAGGAGACATAACTATTTATCCTAGTTCGGGCTAATTCGGTCCCAACATCCAGCAGCCGATGATCCTTATACTCAAGAGCACCCAAAATCAGGGGTTATAACAGAGTGTAAAGGAAGAAGATTTGGTAGGGGGTTAGCTTGGTGCTAATCCTAAGGTTGCCTCGCCGCCGATGGAGCCTTCCCCCTCGTCAGAAAGGAGGAAGACAACGTGATGCGGTGGAGGAGAGGCTCTCGGTGCCCCTCTCAGGGTTGCCTTGCTCTCCGTGCAGAGCGGAGGAGGATGGAATGGAGTGTCTGGCGATCGAAAATAGGATCCTCCCCCTCTAGGTATGACCTTATCCCTTATATAACGAGATAGGTCGGGTACATGACAGTTTGGGGTTTAGTATATGGTCTACGTGCGCCAGAGTCCAGGAGGGTCTTGCAGCGGTGCGCCATAGACCGTCTTGGTGTCTTGGAGCCGAAGAAGCCTTAGGCGTCATCCGGTTGTCTGACACTCTGCGTGTTAGGCAGTGTCAGCTTGAACCGACCTCCCCCAGGTGAGACCTTCTAGAGTCTTCTTGGTAGCGGAAGAGGTCGGCTCTAGGGGCTGACACGCGGGCCTAGAAGCCCGCGAGCCCTCGGATGCCATGGGAAGCTTTGTATTCTTGTGTCACGCCCTGGACATGACCCTGTCAGAGAAGCAGTTGGCAGGGCCGCGCCTGGGCAGCGGTACTGAGGAGCCCTCGAGCATCGGTAGCTCAGGGCCTGTCTTCTTGTGCCTGGGACTTGGCTGGCGTTGTTTGCCGGGCAGGAGCCAAGGACCGAGCTTGGTCGTGCCATAGATTAGGAGCGCAAGGCTCGGGGAAGCCCCTGAGCCCCAGGCGAAGGCCGCGGTCGAGTCAGGCTCGGCCAGATCTCCTTGCCAGAGGGTGCGCGCGAGCGTGCCCGATGGGCGTAGCCCCCGAGCTCCCGGGCGATCCTGAAGGGGTCGGTTGGGGGGTCTTCTTCATTTAGGAACCATTGGACCCGAGGCTTAACATACATGTACGTTAGGATCTCGTCACAAATGAAGGGATAGATGCACCACTTAGTTGTTGGGAAAGACACACCAAGGTAATCTTTGTGCCTTATTATTTTTTTGCTTGTTCTTTTGTCAGGTTAGTTTGTACTAACAGTTAATTCTTCTCATTTTTCAGAAGCAGCCAGAGTGCAGGAAATTCGTGTATGGGTTGCCTAGATTCTTTCCTCATATGGTTGAGCTTTTCCAGAACACTACTGTTGATGGCTCTACAGCCACCATCCCTGGCCTATCCTGCTTTGACCAAGAGATAGGGCTAGATGAGGAGATTTAGATGGTGCTTTGCTCTCTGCGAGAGAACTTCTCGGCTTCCAGACCACCCACCTAGTATCGCAATAAATGCAAGAGGGAAGCGGAACTACACTCTATTGACACAGCCTCGAGTCCAAGCAAGAACAAAAAAAGTTCCAGTTAATGTTATTATGCATAGGCTGGTCACTCAATTGGAGATTGCTGCTGACAAAGAAGTGAGTGCTTTGAAAGAAATATCACAGAGCAAGAGAGGGGAAGTTTCTCAAACAAAGCAAGCCAAGATTGATGATGTTGCAAGGTGCCTGAACTTGGCTGTGGAGGCTAGGGCAGACAAAGCTTTGAATGAGTACTACATTGCTACCATGATGTTCAGAAGTAGCTACAATAGATTGGTCCTCAGCAACTTTGATACAAAGGAGCAAAGGATGGCATGGCTGAGGAGGGCCACCTAACATGGTTGAGGAGGAAAGGATGGCATGGCAGAGAACTGGGCAGCTAGAGTATCAAGTTTGGTAGCC